TTTTCCGTTCCAGATACCAATAATTGTGTCTGTTTCGATGTTAGTTTTAGCTAGTTTGGATAGTGTTTTGTTCAATTGATGATACATGTGAGCAAGATTTGTACTGATTTGAGATTTCCTGATGATGATTTGTTGTAAAGTTTATGTTGCAGTTTCATTGTTTCGTTCTCAAACAATGCACCAGACCCAGAAAACGATTCTGCTGCGGTTCAAGAGTTCTTTGCCAAGATGGAAGCTGCTTTCAGGGCTCATCCACTTTGGTCCGGTCGTTCTGAGGAGGAACTAGACAGTGCAGGAGATGTGAGTATCAGCAAAAAACAATATAATTATGTTGCTTGCGCCACAAGAAAGTGGGGATTAATGACGCAGGTAGAGACGCGGCGGTCGTTTACGAAAGATCGGTGGTGTCACGGGTACCGCTGGAAAAAACAGCGGCAGTTAATATGGACGCAGCGGTTAATTTACGGGATTTTCCGTGTATTCTTCACATACATGCTTGCAAGTAATTTATAATTCTCCACATAACAATCGCTGCCGCAGCGGTTTTGAGAAGAACATGCACTTTCTGTCTGGATTGTTTGCATCTTCATGCCTTAATCATTGTTCCTTTTGTATACACAGGGCCTAGAGAAGTATGTCATGACAAAGCTATTTACTCGGGTATTTGCTTCGAACACGGAGGATGTTATATCCGATGAGAAACTCTTTCAGAAAATGTCATTGGTTCAACAATTCATTTCTCCTGAGAATTTAGATATACAACCAACGTTTCAAAATGAGACATCATGGCTAGTAAGTCAATCTAGTCAAGGCAAGCTCGTAATAGTGTTTCTCTCTTTTCGTTAATTAATGTTCTTAGTTGTGATATTTCTTATCTTTTTCGCCAGCTAGCTCAAAAAGAGCTCCAGAAGATTAACATGTACAAAGCTCCTCGGGATAAGCTTGTGTGTATACTTAACTGCTGCAAAGTGATAAATAACTTACTGCTAAATGCTTCAATTGCTTCAAATAAGAATGCACATGGAGCGGACGAATTTCTTCCTGTTCTGATATATGTTACTATAAAGGTATCTGAAAAAAAAATGCTTGAACGATTGAATAAATTTAGGCATGCTGGTTCCTGATGTTGTGTGTGTATTTAGTGCTTATTCGGTACTTTCTTTTTACAGGCTAACCCTCCACAACTTCACTCAAACTTGTTGTATATACAAAGATATAGGCGTGAATCTAAACTTGTTGGTGAAGCTGCATACTTCTTCACAAACTTACTCTCTGCAGAGTCTTTCATCTCGAATATTGATGCAAAATCCCTTTCAATGGACGAAGCTGAGTTTGAAAAGAACATGGAATCTGCACGGGCACAGATTTCTGGTCTGGGCAGCCAGTCTTATCAAACTGATCACGGCACTACACCACCCCTTCGTGATGAATCCACTGTTCATAAAGTTCAAATGCTAAATCCCAAGTGGGAAAACACCATTCCCCAATCAAGATCCTCTGATAGTCTTCCTGGGACGACCAATGAAATAATGAATCCAAACAGTGAAATACCGATGAAGAAAGTTGAATCCATTTTGGATTTGGAGAATAAGGGTGCTGCTGCGCTTCTGAAGGATACCGAGGCAAGCAAAATCTTTCAAGAGTATCCATACATATTTGCCAGTGCTGGTGATTTGAGGATAGGAGATGTTGAAGGCTTGTTAAATAACTATAAACAGCTCGTTTTCAAATATGTGTGCCTTTCCAAGGGGTTGGGTGGTGCAACATCTTTAGCTCCATCCAATTCACCCTTGCAAGCATCCTCTGGTTTTGATACGTCTAAGGATCATACAACATCGTCTTCAGATGTTCAAGTGACTGTTTTTGACACATTTAAGAATCCTGAGAAAACTGACAGGAGCGTCGATGATTTGATCCGAGCTCTACAGGGTGAAGGGTAAGATGTTGATAATCTCTCAGATGTAAAAAAAGAAGAATATGGTGCAACTTTGGAAGAAGAACGTGATCCGAAGGTGCAAGGAGAAGTAGATTCCAAAGACAATGATTTGAATTTGATGAAGCGAAGTATAGAGAGTGAGAGTGGCAATACAGATTGACAAATGTCAAAGCATAGAGAAACAAAGAGTGGGCTGCAAAAGAACACAATTAAAGAGAGTAAAAGTTGCCATTTGAATGTTTGGAACCAGCAGCTTCATCTTCTGCAGGTTGGGGACTCGGGGCTCCTCAACATTGGTCAATCCATATGTAACTCTTACATCTGCTACTGCATATATACGATAAGGATTTAATCATAGTAACATTTGCCAAGTATTGGATACGAAGTCTGAGTTGCAAATGGTTGAATGAATTTGATGTGTAATGATGTTGGTGGTCTTGTGAAGGCTTGAGAACAATGGTACAATGCGACTCGATCGATGTCAAACTTCAAAGTTAAAGACATGGCCATTGAGTTTGTAAATTATAGGTAATGATCATGAATGAACAACTTTAAGGCTGTGATATTCTTGTTTGCATTCTCTAATCTCTTACGATATGAAAAGTAAATTACTTATAGAGTGACAGTTTCAGATCAAACACGCGTGAGTCTCTGAAAAATCTGAGACAAGAGTCTGTGAGCTTCACTATCCCTTGTAATATAGCTTGTAATATCGCTTCTGGCTCAAGTTTTGACTCCAGAGTCTTGATGTAAGAACATCCAAAATCTCGTAAGAACAACAGTAAAAAATCACACAACGAAGTTGCAAATTCGATAATTCCACTCTTTTACCCTATGAAGTAATTTAATTGTCATCCAATTATACACGTGGCAGGCTCGCGTCCCCCGAACCGGTAAATTGCGATCGATCTCTGGATGATTTTTTTGATCTGTTTAAACCGAACCAACCAAGA